GGAAGACGAATTACGACCGTTACACGGCGTAGACCAGATCGAAGCGACAGACTCGCCGTATCACACTATAACAATATTAATTATAAATAGATAATATAAAATAGAACAAAAGTTAAGTTTGATATTTTTGGCAAGGAACTGATATAAGATGTGACTGCACAAATACATTCTAATATATTGTATATCCTGATTTGCAATAATCAATGACTTATAGTCTATAGTGACATGTAAAGCTATGCTGTAATTTTAGGAAACTTAAATTAACCATAACCTTAAATAGTTTATTAATTATAAATAGTCTATCAGAGCTTAAGGAGAATCATATGGTATAATTATAGCTTAACAAAGGTATATGAGATGAGATAAAAAAGAAAAAAACTGAAAAAAAAAGTAATAATACAAATAATAAAAAAAACCATTTCTTAAATTAAAACTTTCTTAATTAGAACATGTGATTATTATTGCCTAACCAAGTAAATTCTAATTAACCTATTTAATCTAGTACTTGTTGCAAAATAGAATAACTGGATCCCAAAGAAAAAAGTGGTAAAGATTTGTTACAAGAAGCAAACAACGGAAAGAGAAAGAAAGTATTAATAGAACTTGGCTAAACAACTTACATGCCTCAAGTAGAGAAACCAAACACTTATTTGACATTATATGAGAAGTGCTCTGAAGAAGCAATAGACTCATCAAGAGAGACATTAACAATATATATTAAATAAATAATGTCAATTATATAATTTTATTAATAAAATTTTTGTATTTATTATGAATTTAATTTTAAGTTATATAGTTAATATAAAACAAATTTTTTGTTAGTATTAATTTAATAAGTAATTTTAATTATAAAAATAAGTAATAAATGTTTAATTATTGTAATGTGTTTTTTAATTTTTTGTGTTTATAATTTAAGGATGATCATATAATGTAATATTATCTTATTTGATTGGATAAATAATTATTTTAAAATTGATAACAAATTTTTTTTCAGATTTTTATATTATTAACAAATTAATATGTTTGATTTATATAGTATTTAGTATAGAATTTCTTATTTCAAAAAAGTTAAACTTTTAAATTAAACAATATTTTAATATTTTTTATTTTTATATTAATTACAAAAGATTATTAATTTTAATGTTTTATTATAAAATATATATTAATTGTATTGTATATTATTAATTAATATTAAGTTTTTTTTTTTTAAAAAAAATAACAATTATTTTAAATTTAATTTATTATAAAAAAAAAATCCAATATTTACAAATATATTTATTAAAAAGTTATTTTTTTACATATTAAAATTTAAAATTGTGATAAAATATTTTTTTATTTTAGTTAATACAATACAGTATGTATTTAATAAATATATAAATTATAAAATGAATTTTTTTAGTATTTGTTAAATTTATTTAAAATAATGATTTAAATAATAATTTTTTTTTATATATTATAGATAAAAAACTAGCATATAAAAGATTATATTAAATATAAATTTTATTGATATATAATTGATTTTATTAAATATAAGGAATCAATAAGATTATAATAAATATTCAAAAATATAATAGACAACCATTATTAATGTTATATTTTTCATTGATAGAAAGTTATGTAATACAATTATACTATATGATTTATTACATCATATATTCTGGATTTTAAAGTTTGAATAAATAGATAACATAATGATATTATTATAAAGTTTAAATTTTTATTGTGACGTTTGTTTTTTAATATTTAACAAATAATTAAATAAAATTGAAAAATAGTTTTGAAATTTAAAATTGTCTTTATTATTTTAAATATATTAACTTTTTTTATTAAAAAGTTTTCTTGATCAATACAAAATATTAATTTATATTTATCCATTATCAGTCACAGGACATTTCCCCCTTAACCAAGACTAAAATGTCATTTTTATAATTTTTTGTTAATAAAATCAATAGAAAATTATTTAAATGATAAAAACCTTACGAAAAAATAGAATTTTAAAATATAGTGAAAAAAATAAAAAAATACGTTGATTAAATTAATAGATAAAAACAATCTTGCGTAAAAATATTTATCGTGTTTCAAAGTTTTTGGAATTTTTTTTTTAAAAAATTTTCATTTAATATCATTAATAACTATTATACGATAAAATTTTTTTTCCATGTAACAAGAAATAATTTATAAATAAAAAAAAATAATTAATAGATGAAAAATTACTTGACAATAAAAATGTTTTTAAGATATTTTAAAAATGTTTAAATAAATAAATAATTAATTAATTATGATTACATTAAATATGTAAATGAATTTCTCATGTACACTGTGTTGTTGAGTGATTCGTTACTACGACGACAGGTGGATTGTTAATTAAAGAATTTGCTGAGCATTATGGTTCGCCTGTTTGGGTACTTGAATCCTTCTTTATTATACGTATATTTATTAATATTCAAAGTGAACTAATTCCTTCAATAAAATCTTTCGAATAAGGAAATTTGATTACCGTACCATAGACTTAATTCCTTCGACAAATCTTCTGAATTAGTCGTACCATACCAGGGAACCAAGTACAGTACAGTATTTATAGCTTAAATAAGTGATACCCGAATAATCAATGATTATTCCATCAAAACAGGAAAGGACGAATTTGTGTGTAGCCAATTTCAGAAATACGTGTACAGTATCAATTTATTGAGTTGACCTGCATACAAAAAAATGAGATTTAAATTGTTTATATTAAATTTGGTTAATGGTGACGCGAATAAAATTCAAAACTCAACACGTTTTCTAAGTAGAAATGTGCTGTACTATGTCGACTGTATTTCATTAGAATATTTATTTTGACAACCAATTTATTTATGCATTATATTTAATGGATTTTTCCAAGGTAAACAACATTTTAATGCTTAGCACTTTGAGTGAATCCTTGATAAAACCTTTTCAATCTTATATTTGTGTTATGCCCACCATACTGTATTTTTTTATTCTCACGTAAGAAGTTTGGTCATACGTTTTGCCTATTGTTTTTAGTGAGGTATATGAGATGGCATTACAATGCAAGGGAATGTCAGTTATACAATTAGGAATGTTCGTGCACAATGAACCTGATGAAAGACCGTATCAAATTTGGAATAAGTACTACGTACACACATGCTGGTCTTATTGATGTAACTGATCTTACTTGGTTTTTAATGGTCATAAGTAATATACTGTATACAGTATTATAAGAAGATCCAAAATACGTACATGATGGACAACCGTGTAAATTTTTGTTAGTTCTAATATGATATAACAACCTTGACCACCATTCCAAACAAAGCGGTGTGCAGGTAGTGACTCCTTTACCAATGTGTGAATGCGTACAAAATATTTTGGTTACCTAAATTAAATTCTATAAAATCCCTAAATTCTTTTTTGTATTTTTCTTCAGTGCAGTTGACCTTTCTGTCACTATCTGAAAATGTATTCAATCAGAGTTAATGAAATATGCAAATTCGTATTTACCTTGGTCTTATTGTTCGGAGTAAGGATCTTTTTTCTTTTGACCATAACATTTCTGTCAAGAAATTTCAACATCTTTAATATTACAGCATTCATTTGGTAAATAGGCAAAATTGAGCAATGCACAAAGCGGAGTGATAAATTTACCGTTCTCTTATGCTTGGTACTTGTGCAGCTCTGCTCCAATAGACGCTTTATGTAAGCTAAATCAAAAAAATTATCAGACTTGAAAAAAAACGTTCGCGCCTTTCAATATATCGTCTTAATACATTCTTATCCATGTATTTCTTTACGTTTTGCGCCGAATTACAGCATATACCGCTGTCGTGGTTGGCTCGAGTGCCACGACATCAAGTTTTGGTACAATTCAAAAAGTCAATACCTTAAATTTAGCGCCGAATGGTGGAATAGTTGCATTCGTGATGAATGTCACGGAGCTAGCCGTATTCTTGAATCCGGAGTCAACTGATTTTTACAGTTACGGTAGCATCTCATGCATGTCACCGGTGGCCGCGTGCTCGTTTCCAGTTTCCAAGGTCGCCACGGAAAAATATTGTATCGCGGTGGAGAACATAAATCCATACCCGATTACAGTGTCAATTTCTATAAATTGGGCATTTGGAACGCCGTCAACACCGCAAACCTTACCTCTAATTACTTATACTAGCACCTATGTTTCCACTATAGTCGTGTCAACAACCATAACGACAACAGGAAATTGCACCAAGTCTCATGGAGAGCGGAGTCCAGTGAACACAATTAATTTGATATATCCCACCATTCTGACATTTTTGAGTTTTATTTATATGTTCTGTCGCTAATCATTGAGTGAATGACATATGTTTTCTTAGAATTTATCTATTATAGTATAATATGGAAAACGTCATTATCTCCTAACCGTAATTCTTGTCGTAAAAATATATATACAGTATATTACGACAGATTATGCCCGTAAGAGAATATGTATCATTGATTTCGTTAAAAGATGGCAAGTAGATGTAAGGTTCATTCGTCTCAAAAATAGCACAATATTGTAAGATCTTTACGTTATAAGTTAGAAACTTTCTTTAACATTAAAAGATGCCCGATAATTATGGAGGGAAATCAGAAAATCAATTTAACAATCATTAACTGCCATAGGAAACGGAAGCAGAATAAGCGTTGATTTCAATCATTGACCTTGAAAAGATGCACCAAGAAATTAAAGGCTTATCTAGACATCACAATTGCATGGCTACTGGGTAAGTAACTAACTACAGTATTTAGAAAAGATTTTATATTACATTTTGGTAGAAAAAAATTTTTGTTGTTTTTATAAATGTATGATCATGAGTCACGGTATAAAGTTACGTTTAACGATATGCTGCGTTTAATTTATTCATGGTGGATGTTCGTAACTGACTTCTCTTTTCCCTTTCACTGTATTATGCATCAATATATTGCAACTACGTAATTAAATGAAATAAAATGTTGATCCAAAAAGAAGTTCTTTTGGTTGGTTGAACACATTTAAATCCTATTCGATCGGTAGTACAGTAAACAAGAGGGTGACAAATTTAATTTTAATTTAATACATACACATGCATAAATACATTGATTTGAAATTAAGGGAAAATGTACAGTATCAGTAGTAAGTAAAACTTGAAACCGCAAACCTACGTATATTAAATAGTAGTAGAATTTAAATATTAGCAAACAAATATAGGTTAAAGATATTCGTGAAAAGTTTTTATATAAATAATTTATTAAAATCACATTATAATCTTATAATTTTTTATGCAACAGCCAGTTCTGTTTTGAAGCACATCATTATTTTTTATTTTTCCTTTTTTTCGAATTCAAATACTGGAAGACAACACACTCCATTACTCAAATTACTCAAATGGAACAAGATTTACTTATGATTTATAGAAATGATGAGATTTGATAAAGTCGAGGTTTGGTAGGGAGTCTTTTGTAAAACTTACAAATTCGGTGAACATGAAATGCCGGTAGCACAAATAAAGCTTATAAAGTAACACGTGTATTTATGCATGCAGCATGGATTATGCTTGAGCATTGGGAAGAAATCTCTTGTAAGATGAATACAAAGTTATTAAAAACATAGATTACTACTGTCGTGCAATGTAGCTTAAAGTGAGGTTCACATTTAATCCATCACCTACACTAAAATAATATTGGAATACTGAACAAATGGGTTGAAGGCATCTGCTGTTGACGTCTGGTTGTAGCGAATTGTATTTATAAAAAATTTATTACCATATAGGGAAAGAGAATAGAATTTTGGCATGCGTGACAGCACAAGACTTGAAGCTCCCTGAAGCTATATAAATATTTACAGTATATGCAAGCATCAATTCTAATCCTTGAATGATAATGTGGATAGTTGAACTGCAAATATTTGTGTCTTGTTCGTATTCTCCCAGAAAGACACAGAAAAGATAAAGGTTTGTGATTAATCATTAAAGCTCAAGAAAAAGAAGAAATATATAACATGTATCAAGGAAATATTATCATTGTTAAATAATTTTTTGAATGAAATTAAAAGTGAAAGCTTTGGTTAAATCCTCGCAATAATAATCCGTGACCAGAAATTTAAGTTTGCCCATTTTAATGACCGGTTACAAAAGGACCATATAAAGTTTTATATGTTTATAAACATTTTCACTCGATTCCAAACGTTCTAAACAAGTTAATGCAAATAATTCATACAAGTAAATTTCTGAATTTAAAAATCTTTTGCAAATCCAAAAATTTTAAAATTGACTTAAATCAAACAAATCAAAAGCAAAGATTTGAAAAGTAATCAATTTAACTATTATATACAATATATTGATTATTAATATATGTTATTTTAATTAACATTGGTTTCTTATAATATATTGTTAAGGAAAAAAATAACTATATTGGTATTAAAAAATATAAGAGAAGTATAAAAATACTGTATATCTGATATATCTAATATATTAAAGTATATATCAACTATATCAGATATATCAAATATATCAAGTATATTAAATCTGTTAAATATAGTATGATGCAAAAAAATTTGAAATATTATTTATATAATATAAACACATATAACTTTTTTCAAAACAAAAATAATTTACATGATTTTAAATATGTAAACAGCATATTCCAAACAATATATATAAATTATTTGATCATTTTATTTTTGTTTCAAACTTATTTTTACAATATTACTTTTTTTAAAAAATATTTAATAACAAGCTATATTACATTTGTAAAATAATAGAACTACTTTTTCATATGAAATATATTTTAAAACTAGTATAAACATATCAATTATCTATTATAATTTCAAAAAATTAAATTAAAAAGGTAATAATTCAAAAAAAATTGATAATAATTATCTTAAAAAGATTACAGAACATGAATAAAAAAAATTAATCAATATTTATATCATAGTTCAAGATTTTTATCAAAAACTTTAATAATTAAATTACAAATATTAATCTTAAAATATCATATTCAACAATTTTAAAATATTTACTAATTTGAATTACAAAAATATTTTTTTAAAAAAATATCTATGCTTATTACTGCTTATAAAAAAGTTTATATTATTTGAACAATAGATATTTTAATAATAATTAAAAAAATACATTATTTTCTGATAAAACAATATTTTAAATATTTAAAAATACAATTACCAATAACATAAAAATGTCAAACCAGTTAAAAAAATATCTAAAAATTATATTAAAATCTTTGTATAGTGTTAGTGGAAAAATATATAGTTAAAGCCATATAATGTAACTAATTGGCATATTGGCAATCTTCTATAAAATAGTATAATAACATAATAAAAAGTTTAAATAGTTTATTTTTATAGTATGATAATTTATAAGTTATAGTAAAGATAGTTTTATAGCATATTAGGATAGCAATAAACATATAAATAGAAATGAAAAAGTATAAAACAAAAGAAACAATTTAATTTTAAACTTAAAAAAACAATCTTAATTAATATTCCTTTTTATTAAAAAAAGAAGTATAAAATGATATTGATATAGAAAAAACTCTTTCTCAATCGCATCAAAATTACCAAATTAGGAAACACTCAAGAAAACAAAAATTTCGTCTCAAGGAA